GTGCATATGAGGGAGGGGTGAAAATGGCATCACCCAGCTACCAAGTCTCTAGTATCGGACTCTGTGCTCTCCCCCACAGGAATTCAAGCATCTCTCCTTAGTCTCTGGCTTCCGTCCACTCCCTGCTCCTACACTGTCCATGACCAAGCCATCTGGCTGCCAGGTAGCTCCTCCTTCCTGAGGTTTATTTCACATGGGGCTGTGTTTCCCAACCCTTCACTTCTGAGGGACTGCATGTTTGACCCGCTCAGGCCCTCCGGGGGAGGGTCTTACTGAGCAATGGCTAGGTGCTGGCCCGCCCCCAGCAACGTTCAGGAGACCGTGCTGCTGCAGATGCCCAGAGACTGCAGCTGGGTGCCAGCCCACCCCAGAAAAAGTTCACGCAATTGTGTAGCTGCAGCGTTTCAGGAATTATGGAAAATCACGACACACATCTGATGCTAGGCTTCACCCTAAGGTCATTGTTCCAACACCAATGAAAGAGCTTGTTCTCCAGGGTCTGCTGGAGCCTTCACCTGTAGAAAGGATGCACAACCTCTACTAAATGTCCTCTCAGCAAGGGAACTGCCACTCCCGTTGTGGCCCGAGAACCCCTCAGACTTTGCTCTCTATTCTTGGGGATTTGCCCTTCCCAACAGAGCACCATCAGGTATTGAGCTATGGAGTTTCAGACCAGCACTCCCTGTTTATAGAGTTTTAATGGAATTTAAATCCTCTCCTTTCCCCTTTCTCCCTTTTTTGTTCAGTCTCTTTTGGCTATTTCCACTCTTCCTTTTTCTCTCCAGCTGCTTTTGGGGCGGGAATGTGCTTTTTCCATACTCTTCCCCTGTCTCTGTCCTCTCTCTGCAAGCAAAAAGAGCTCCCTGCCCTCCAGAGCTTCTCTCTCCACTAGCTCACCTCTCTGTGCCGCAAAACTGCCCAGTTGTGTGGTTCAGCTTGTGCAGTTTATTGTGTAATTCCTCAGATCAGTTTTCTAGGTGTGCAAGACAGCTTTATGTTGATCTGGCTGCATTTCAGGGATAAGAGATGCAAAAACAGCCTTCATTCTGTTCCTCCATCTTGGCCCTTCCCCTATAATGATCTATTTTCAACAACAACAACAACAAACAACAACAACAACAACAACAACAGAAATATAACTCAATGGAATACAAGGGAACACAAAATAAATTCAAATATATACAATTGAATGATTTTTACAAATGTGCCAGGACAGTTCATTGGCAAATGGACAGCATATCCAAGAAATGATGGTGGAAAACCTGGATATCCACACGCAAAAAGATGTAGCTGAGCCTTCCGTCCACCATCCTTAAGCACGACTCCAAAATGGGTCACAGACTGAAGTATAAGAAATATAACTATAAACACTTAGAAAAAAAAACAGAGGTACATCTATATGACACTGGATTTGACTATGATTTCCTGGATATAACACCAAAGACACAGGCAATTAGAGAAAAAATGTTTTGGCAAAATTAAAAATATTTGTGCATCAAAGGGCACTATTTCCCAAGTGAAAAGAAAAAAAATGGAGAAAAGATTGGCAAATCACATATCTATTAATTGATTAATATCTAAAACTTATAAAGAATTTTTAAAATTCCCAGCAAAAAACCCTAAACACTCAATTTAAAAACAGCAATCCTCTTGAATGCAGAGAACAAACTGCTGACTGGTGGGGGTAGGGGGGAGGGAAAGGGCAGTGATGGGCATAGAGGAGGGTACTTGTGGAGATGAGCACGGGGTGTTATATGAAAACCAACTTGACAATAAACTATTAAAAAAGTAAAATGAAATGAATGAAAAAAGGCAATCCTTTCATTTAAATTCCAGTTACTTAATATATAGTATATTATTCATTTCAGGAGTACAATAGAGTTCCTCATTACTTCCATAATAAAAAAATATTTTTAAAGATTAGAAAGAAGAAACAATAAGTGTGAGCAACGATTTGAAGAAAAGGGAACCCTCTGGTATTTTGGTGGAAATCAAAACTGGAGCCACCACTGTGGAAAAGCGTATAGAAGTTCCTCCAAGGCATAAATAAAGCCTCCATGCAACCCAGTAATTGCACTACTGGGTCATTAGCCCAAAAATATTTTTTAAAAATTCAAAGAGATTACTTGCACACTAAACTTAGAGCAGCATCATTTACAATATCCAAATTGTGGAAGAAGCCCAAGTGACCACCAATAGATGAATGAATAGAGAAGATGAGGTACCTACACACACAATGGAATATTTTTCAGCCAATAAAAAAAATGAAATCTTGCTTTTGGAACCTTGGCATAAGCTAGAGGGTCTTATGTGAAATGGAATTAGTCATTCAGAGAAAGACAAACACCATATGCCTTTGTCCATATGTGGAATTTAAGAAACAGTACAAATGAGCAAAGAGAAAAAGAAAAGGCAAACCAAGAAACAGACTCTTAACAGTAGAGAACAAACTGATGGTTACCAGAGGGGAGGTATGGCGCGGGATGGGTCAAATAGATGATGAGGATTAAGGGGTGCCCTTGGGAAGATGAGCACCAGATGTTGCGTGGAAGTGCCAAATACTATATTGTACACCTGAATTATTATCACACCATATGTCAACTATACTGGAATTCAAATTTTTTAATAAATTAAAAAACAAAATTAATGGTGAAAAGAAAAAGAACTGGCAATAGACTCAAGCAGACATTTCTCCAAAGAAGTTATAAGCATAGACACTTAGTTACACAACATGACTAATCATTAGTGAAATGCAAATCAAACCCATAATGGGATACCACAACACACATTCTATAATGGCTATTTTTTAAAACTAAACAGAAAACAATTGTTGGTGAAGATTAGCAGAAATTTCAACCCTGTGGTGCTTGCTGATGAGAATAAAAAGTGACACAACTACTGTAGAAAAGATTGTGCCAGTTCTTCAAAACATAAACATAGAGCGCTCATTTAATCCAGTAGTTTCACTTCCGCTTATATACCAACTTATATGTCACAAAAGAATTTATTTTTATTTTTTATTTTTTAATGTTTATTTATTTTTTTCTGAGAGAGACAGAGAGACAGAGCATGAGCAGGGGCAGGGCAGAGAGGGAGGGAGACCCAGAATCCAAAGCGGGCTCCAGGCTCTGAGATGTCAGCACAGAGCCCAACTCAGGGCTCAAACCCACAAATCTTGAGATCACGGCCTGAGCTGAAGTTGGACATTCAACCGAGCCACCCAGGGTCCCCTGTACCAAGAGAATTTAAAGCAGTGACTAGAACAGGTCTTTGTACACCAAGTTTCAAAACACCTTTATTCACAGTAACCAAAATGTGGAGACAACCCGAATGTCCATCAACAAACTCACAGATGAACAAAGTGTGGTGAACACAGGCAGTTGAAAATCATTTAGCCTTTAACATGCATGGAATTCTGGCACAGGCTGCAACTTGAATGAACCTCACAAACATTATGCTCTCTGAAAGCAGCCAATACATGGGGCTTCTGGGTGACTCAGTTGGTTAAGTGTCTGACTTCTGCTCAGGTCATGATCTCATGGTTCTCAGGTCATGATCTCATGGTTTGTGGGTTTGAGCCCCACTCAAGCTCTGTGCTGACAGCTAGCTCAGAACCTGGAGACTGTCTGCAGATTCTGTGTCTCCCTCTCTCTCTGCCCCTCCCCGCCTCAAGCTCTGTCTCTCTCTGTCTCAAAAATAAATAAATATTTTTTAAAAAAGAAGCCAAAGGGGCGCCTGGGTGGCTTAGTTGGTTAAGCGTCCGACTTTCACTTAGGTCATGATCTCGCAGTTCATGGGTTCGAGCCCCGCGTCGGGCTCTCTGCTGACTGCCAGCTCAGAGCCTGGAGCCTGTTTCAGAGTCTGTGACTCCTCTCTCTCTGACCCTCCCCTGCTTGCGCTGTCTCTCTCTCTCTCTCCTAGAAATAAATAAAACATTTAAAATAAATAAATAAATAAATAATAAAAAAAATAAAAAAAGAAGCCAAAACAAATGAACCAATATTATGCATTTTATATAAATGAGATACCTAAGGTAATCAGTTTTAGAAAGAGAAGGTAAAATGGTGGGAGGAAAGGGTGGGGCAGAAGAGCAATGTGAATTTAGTATTTCAAGGAGACAGATTCAGTTTGAGATAATGAGAAAGTTCTGGAAATGCATAGAGGTGGTGGCTGCTCAACAGTGAGAAAGTACTTGATGCCATATAAGTATATTTCAAAATGTTTAATTAATAAATTTTATATGTATTTTCCCCTGAAAAACAAGGAAGAAAAAAGACTGACATATTTTACAAGAAATTCATGGGGCCCTGGGTGGTTCAATCAGATAGACATCTGTCTCTAGATTTTGGCTCCAGTGGATCTGACAATCTATGAGTTCAAGACCCACATTTGGCTCTGTGGTGTCAGTGGGGCCTACTTGGTATTCTCTCTCTAATCCTCTCTATGCACCTGTTGATCTTGCTCTCTCTCTCTCTCTCTCTCTCACACACACACACACACACACACACACACACCCCACACACCAAAATATGATTAAACAATCAAAAAAAAATTTAAACCCATGCAATGCAATTTGATGACAGGTCTAAAAACCTCTTAAAAATGCAGAAAAGGGTTGTCTGGGTGACTCAGTCAGTTAAGTGTCCAAAACTTGATTTCAATTAAAGTCAAGATCTCACTTTCTAAGATGAGGCCCACTTCAGACTCTGTGCTGACAGCACAGACACAGCTTAAGATGTATCCTCAATCTGTCTCTGCTCCTCCCATATGCTCTTGCTCTCTCTCAAAATAAATTAATAAACTTCCAAAAAAGGAGAAGAAATAGTTGCTTATACTGTATGAAAAATCTTTAGCAACTGAATACTAATAGAAAGTAAACTGCATATTGTCAGTCTCTGAATTGATTTAATATCATGAGCCAGGCATTCTAGGGTTTTAAGCTCTGTTAGTCATACCTTTATCTTGAAACAAAGAATCCCTAGGCAGAGAATGTCTCTCTGCTAAAGAGCTTTTCTCAGGGCTTCCTTGATGTCTCTGTTCCGCAGACCATAGATGAAGGGGTTCAGCATGGGTGTCACCACTGTGTACATGACTGAGGCGATGGCACTTGCTCTGGAGTTCTGTGAAGCAGCAGAACTAAGATACACCCCAAGGCCTGTGCCATAGAACAAAGAGACCACCGAGAGGTGAGACCCACACGTGGAAAATGCTTTATACTTGCCCTTCACTGATGAAATTCTCAAAATGGAAGTTACAATTCTAGAGTAAGAGGAGAAGATGCCAATGAGTGGAACAATACCCAGAAGCCCACTTATCAGGTACATGGCCAGGTCATTGAGGAACGTATCAGAGCAAGCAAGTTGGATCACCTGCTTCAGTTCACAGAAAAAGTGCAGGATTTCCAGCTCTGTGCAAAAAGAGAGTCTCAAAATCATTAAGTCATGTAGTAGAGAGTCAAGAACACTCAATACCCAGGATCCCAGAAGCAGGATGCCACAGAACTTGGGGTTCATGATGACCATGTAGTGCAGTGGGTGACAGATGGCCACAAACCGGTCATAGGCCATCACTGTCAAGAGGAAGTTGTCAAATACTCCAAAAAGCATGAAAAAGTACATCTGGCTGAGGCAGCCTTCGTAGGTGATCACTTTGCTCTGCGTCTGGATGTTCAGCAGCATCTTTGGGACGGTGGTGGAGATGAAACACATGTCTGAAAAGGACAGGTTGGAGAGGAAGAAGTACATGGGCGTGTGGAGGCGGGAGTCTGTGACAATGGCCAGGATGATGAGCAGGTTCCCAGTGAAGGTGACCAGGTACATGGACAGGAACAGCCAAAAGAGCAGTGACTGCAGCCCCCCCTCGTCTGAGAGTCCCAGCAGAATAAACTGTGTAACCCGGGATTGATTTCTTCCTTCCATGTAACTGATGAAAATGGCTGGAACAGAGACAACGGCAGTGTAAAGGCACTGGTATGACCACAGAATTAAGAGAAATGCTGTGTTTTCAACACGATGCATTCATTATTTCTTACACATTCCCTACCAATCTAGGATATTTACCAGAAAATATCCGGGACTGTTAAATGCTCCATGTTTTCTGTGAGGCTGAAACTGTTTGCTATGCTTGTTCTGAATCAAAATACTAATTAAAAACAATGTTCTCCTCCATAAACTTCGTGAGACCTTTTTTAAATTTTTTTTACTTTTTAGTTATTTCTAGGAGAGAGAGAGAGACAGGGTGAGCAGGGGAAGGTCAGAGAGAGAGGGAGATACAGACTCTGAAATAGGCTCCAGGCTCTGAGCTGGCAGTCTGCACAGAGCCCGACGCGGGGCTCAAACCCACGAACCGCGAGATCATGACCTAAGCGAAAGTCGGACGCTTAACCGACTAAGCCACCCAGGCGCCCCGAGACCTTTTTTTTTAACCCAACAAAATTTAACAAGATATCAGTGACAACTATCGTTGAAAGCATTGCAAAAAGTAGTGATGTGTGTTAGACCTCAACAAGATTTAGTCTTAGGTGTGTGTGTGTTGTGTGTGTGCGTCCGAGGAAGGAATAGAATATTAATAAAGGACTAAATAATGTTTCAGGTGGTGGTTACAACTAATAAGTAAAATAATTCAGGACAAAGGAGGCCTCAGTAGAAGAGAAATCTGCCATTGTGTCATGTCTGATCAGGGGCGTCTGACCTGGAAAACTAAGAGATATATGAACCATGCAGATAACTTTGAGAAAACCAGTGAAGGCAGAGAACTTGCATGTGCAAAGTGATAGAGGCAAGACCTCACTCACAACCATCAGGCAACATCAAAGAGAAAGTTTTGAGCACTGCATGTACCCAATGGGAGTAAGTGTCAGATGCAAATAAAAGAGAAGAGCTCAAAGCCTCCTGCCCGTGGAAACATTCTAAGGCAATGCACACTACTGTTCCTTGTTCTTATGTGTATGTGTTATATGTGATGTCTTTCTAAAACAGGATTCAATTTATATAATGTATACGAATAGAACATATTTCATTCCTCCATAATTCTGTGTCTTTCTCTCTACCTTTACCCTAGGTCTCCAGTTGGTCAAAATGCTGCATTTGCTATTGCATAAGACAGCTCCACCTTGCTACAAATGCTCTAGGGATGTGTACTTCACTGATAAATTCTCCTTGTGCTACACGCGCGCGCGCACACACACACACACACAAACACGAGTGTGGACAGGGAGAGACAGAGTTCTCCATTATTGTGGTACTGTGTACTCTTGTAGCTGAAACACAACTTTTTAGAAAGGAGGGGACAGGCTACACCATAAGTCAAAGAGCTTCTTTCTCCTAGGAAAACTGCAGTTTGTGATGCTGGCATTCCAGTAGAGTACTCGTGGCTAAGGGTCATAGAACCCCACAAAATAGAAGAATTAACATCAATCATTCTCAATCTCTTCCCAAAAAACTCAAAGGGGAAACACTTCTTACTTTATTCCATCGGGCCAGCATTGCACTGATACCAAAGCCATAAAAACACATTGCAAGAAAGGAAAAGCACAGAACTATATTCCCAAAGAAGTTTTATGTGAACCAATTCAAGCAATGCAGCCTCTGGATCATGGCGTAGAAACGGATTCTGCATCATGACCAAAGGGCATTTATTCCAGGAAGGCCAGAATGGTTTAACTAATAAAACTCCCTCAGTGTAACACACCACATTAACAGAATGGAGGATAAATACACATGAGTATCTCAACAGATGGGAAATAATAATGACAAAGTCGAGCATTCCTTAAGAGTAGCAGCATTCCAGGGGCGCCTGGGTGGTTTAGTCGGTTGAGCGTCCGACTTTCACTTAGGTCATGATCGCGGTTCGTGGGTTCGGCCCCGCGTCGAGCTCTGTGCTGGCTGCCTGTTCAGAGCCTGGAGCCTGTTTCAGAGTCTGTGTCTCCCTCTCTCTCTGACCCTCCCCTGCTCATGCTCTCTCTCTCTCTCCTAGAAATAAATAAAAATATTAAAAAAAAAAAAAAGAGTAGCAGCATTCCAGAAACTAAGAATGGAAGGAATCTTCCACAACATGAAATAGGCCATATATGAAAACCCAAGCATAAAATCATTCTTAATAGTGAAACACTGAGAGTGACCCCTAAGTCAAGGCAAGACAAGCACGCTTTTTTCATATCTTTTATGCAACATGGCATTGCAAGTACCAGACACAACAAATAACCAAAAACAGAAAATAAAAAGAATGAAATAAAAGGCATCAAAATTAGAATGCAAGGAGCAATATGAGTTCTCTTCACAAAAAAAGGTGATCTTATGTAGAAAAACAAAACAAAACAAAACAAAATAAAACAAAACATTAAGGGGTGCCTGAGTGACTCAGTTGGTTGAGCATCCAACTTCGGCTCTGGTCATGATATCACGGTTCATAGGTTCAAGAACTGTTGGGGCCCTGTGCTGAAACTCAGAGCATGGAGCCTTCTTTGGTTTCTGTGTCTCCATCTCGTTGTGCCCCACCCCCTCTCATGCTCTGTCCCTCTGTCTCTCAAAAACAAACAAACATTTTAAAAGATTTTAATAAGTAAAAATTAAAAAAATTTAAAAGCATTCCAAACCAACTTGACAATAAGCTATTAAAAAAAAAAGTTTTTAGAAATAAAAAATAAGAAAAAATAAATAAAAAATAAGAAAGCAAAAAATTTTTTAAGCATTGAAAACAAGAAAACCTGTTTAGCATAATAAAGGAATTCAGCAATGTTGCACAATATAAATCAATGCAAACAAAACTCAGGTGATCAATGGAATCCTACAATTGAATGTACATGCGAAAGAAAAATCTAACCGTATTATAATTGCATGACACAATCTCACTGAAACAGGTGTGCAGAAAAAGTGCAGAAAATTGGGAAAAGAGAAAGTCTGTAAAACTGGACGTGACAGGAATAGCACAGAAGTACTCCTCCATACTTGAGAAAATGTATCCCGGAGGGTACTGTGAACAATGCGATTACTCCTGCACATGTGAACTGAAATTGAACATATAAGGAAATGGATAGTAAATGGTGGGAATGAGGTTATCACCTTTGGTGTGGGACTTGACATGCAAGCAAGGTGGAATAACTCTTATGATCCTTTGGCAATAAATTAGAGTGGGAGCCATCAGTATGAACTTGCTTTAGTTTATACACAAATACAGAGGGTTCCATATAGACACACGTGTGGATGTCTGCATATACACAGAGTAGTAAACACCCATATGTGTACATTCCAGGTCAGTTGAGGGGATACAGAGACCCTGGTAGCAACAGGCACAGCAGGTACCATGATCTTTAATCTGCCCCATGACCCAATAAAATAAAACAAGGCCCCTTGCAGAAATGGCTGACTGTAGGGCTCCGGAGGAAAATACATTAAGTTGAAGGTGAAGCTGAAGCACCTCTTTCTGTAACACATAATGAAACACTGCCCCCAAAAGCCAAGAATAATGGAGACAGGCCAAAGGGACATGTCACCTGATGGAAGAGCTCTCCATTGCCAACGCTGAAACAATGTGAGCAACAAAATAAACTAGTATTGGGTTATAACACAGAATATATACTGTAAATAACTAAAAAATAAATACTGAAAACACAATCTCGACTGCAGAAGAAAATCAATGATTTACAGAAATATTCTACTCTTAAGGAGGTGGAAGAGAAATACCACTACGTAAAGATGGGGCTGCACATAGAAAGTCCCTACAGGAGCACAGGATGGAAAGAAAGGAGAAAGAGAAACCTGACACATAAAATGTCAGCCAGGACATCAATGTCAACACCAGTGAGAATTAGTCATGTTGAGAGCGTGTACCCTTGATGTCAGGAAATAAACATGCCTGTCTCCCTCTCTGGTCTTCTTGTTCAACATCCACAGTCCCAGTCTACTCATGGAAAAAAAAAAAAGGAATAATAAGGCATCTCCAAAAGAAGCTGCTGTTGTTGTTGTTGTTTACAGAATGCCTGATCAGCACCCTTAAAATTATCAATTGCTTCAAGATCAAATGAAGCCTGAGAAAAGGTCACTGCGTGCGGAAGCTCAGCAGGTATGAGGATTAAAGTAGCCTGTGTGAGAGACAGGATGCGTTCCTAACAGCAGAAACTGGGCAGGGAGCTGAGGAGAACCCTCTAAAGAATCACAGCAAGTTTGTTTTGTAAATGTAAAACTGTTACAAATACTAAAGGTTATTAAAAGTTAAAATTATTAACAAAATGCAAAATATTTGGAAACACTGTGCTCTGAGATTGTCCCTAAGGCGCTGTAATGTGTATAAGCAGTGCCACTGCTGTCAGTGACTCTTCCCATCAGTAAAATAAAGTATCACATACAGTTTGAAAATTTTCAATGAAACAATGACTGTATCTGCATTGTTTCTAGGAAACATCTAAGAGTGAATGAAAACACTCATCTGAATTTCTCTATTCATGATGTCGACTCAGAGACCCATTCTGTGCCTCCCATCTCCTACTCATGGTGCTATTTCTATCCCTCAATACCCCTCTCCCACTCTGAATGCAACAATACTTTCTTTCTCACAATAACCTGGGCCATTTTTCCATTGAAAAGACCTATTCATGACTGCGCCCTGATATAAAACTTGCACTTACACTCACTCATTTCAGATTTCAATTTCAACCTTCTAGACAGAAAGTAAGATTGTTTGTGAATTGACTATTGCCTACCCATCCAGATTCATCTGGGTTAATTTTGCAGACCCTGCTCCTGATGTTTGGTCAGGCAGTAAGAAGTATTTCTAATTCCAGAAGCACAACTTCCACTCTGCTTTAATCTCTAAATTTGCTCCT